ATATTTAGCCCCATCACAGCTGTTGCTGTATAAACGTGTCTTCTCATAGAAGAAAACCATGTTACACATTTTCTGCTTGTTCAACAGCATCCACAATACCATGGTCCCATTTTAACCGTATCAGTGCACTCCGCAGACATGATTGCACAATCCTCTTTTAACAGAACTGAAATAAGCATACCTTTTCCTGTAATTTTAATTAAACGTGAAAAACACTAAGCTACCACTTGAACAACGCTGGTTTACACCTTTAGTTTCAGTTTTGTTAGCAGTCTTTAGCTTAGAAAAGCAACTAAGCTAACTAAACTCTTTACTTAGTTCTGCAAACAAAAAATGGCTCACCCAAAAAATGAATCATACAACCTGCTGCCTGTGTGATAGACACTACAAACTGTGCCAGTATGAGAAATCCAAGAGGTGATCGTCACTAACACAGCTATGCCAACAAGTATGTACGTTTACGCTACGACAAGCACGCTTTTAGCACTAATAACTGCTTTGATCATAAGAGATGGTTTTGCTATTTCCAGCCCTTTCCTAGCTAAGGCTACTTCAGACAGATCTTTGCCAGCCATACCAGCAGCTGTGCCTAGAAGAACTACATCAGTCTTTCAGCCATTTTCAACACCAAACCAAGATGTGATGGCATTGCTAATGCTCCTGCGCTGCTGTTAGCACTGACAAGGATGCTCTGGAAGGACCTGTGATGGAAATAGCTCTAGTGTCTGCTAATCTCCAAACAGCAGACAGCAGGAAAAATAGTGTACTTGCCACTACTGCTAACACAAACATAAGGCCTGAATAGTGAGAGACAAATGGTGTTCAAAGCACAGAAAAGCAAATAGCAGCCTCAAGACCTTGCCGACAAAAATAAAAAATAAAAAAGTCTCCCTTCAAAGAAAAAAAAAAAAGACTGATTTCTCATCAAAATATTACAATGCTGACTGTGGGTTGTCTGATGAAGCCCAACAAATCAAACACTGGCAATTCCAGATGCTTCCACAGCTGTCCCCTCATCTGCTGAAGGTCAGAGCCCCAGAGCCCCAGCAGTGGAGCAGATGAAAGGAGGGTGCCCATGCACCCTGCATTGCTGGTCAAAGGTAGGAGCATGGCTAGAACGTAAGCAGGCATTTGTTTCAGCCAAGACAGCTGTAGGGCATGATACTCTCTGACAGAGCCTCACCTGGTTTAATGCAAGCACTTGGATTGCAGCTGGCTGCTCCTTAGTCTAGGTAAATTTGGGTGCATTATTGCAGTGCAAGTTCAGCACCCCAGTCCACTCCATGCTGGGCATCCAGCCTACACTACTGCCACAAGAACTGAACTGTATTTCATGACAATAAATGACAAACAGAACAAGACAATTGGGAAAAAATGGAGAAGTGTCTTTGATTTGAAGGCCGGGAAAAAAACTTGTTTGTATCCAATCCCACAGCATCTCAAGGGGAGTTTTACAGGAACAGCACTGGAATTAAAGGTCTGCTGTACAGAGAGAAAACAGCAAAGAAAGAGCTGAACTATCCTCTACATTAAAAAAAAAAAAAAGATATTTTTTAATGCATGGTAATCACTCAAGTGGGATGAAGGCTTGTAGCTGCCTGCCAGCACGGTCTTTGGAGTCACTTTCTCATGTCTGCCATGTGCAAAAAAGGCATTGTAGCCTTTCCTAGCTCTGCAGATTAAAGATAGACCGCACTTCATCTGACTTTTTCTTTTGCAATAAAATGTCCATAATTCACATTTAATATGCTGCAAAGTCATCTGCCTTCCAAGCACGAAAGCTCATTCTGCTCAATGTCACTGATGATAGGTCAAATTTAAACTCAGTATTACAGGACAAACACTGCATTGCTATTAATAATAAATAATTGTGGTAGTATTTTACCTTAATAGAGCATCTTACCGCTTTACAAAATCTGAACCACAAAAGCAGATCCACAGCCAGAACCCTGCAACCTCTTAGTGATTTGTATAGGTGCAAAGGAATGAGCAAATGAATTACAGATTATGTCAGATCTGTGGATTACTTCACTGCAGTCGATGATCCTCCCACTTCAGGGGGAGGTCCAGCATTTCAACATGGGGTTCTCATGAACACCTTCCTGACAACAGGCCTGTACTGCTTGCGTGCTAATGGGACAGTAAGGATCCCAGCAGCACAATTAATGTTCCTCTCTAAATGAAGATGCTCCCTCATGACCACAATCAATTATAAAAGCATCAGTCAGCAAACAAATTTAAAGGATTGTCCTTAAGAGGATCACACTCTGATGGACAGGGAAAGTCATATCCTGCCTGCACAGTCCACAGGTAGAAAGGGTTCCTACCTGTCACTACTACGATAAAAACATTTCAAAAGATAACACTGTGTAGACAAAGCTATGAATAGGTACAGTGAATATTCAAGACATAACTTAGCATTTCTGCCCATGACTTAAGATGAGACAGGAAGCAAAACCACAGTCAACAGGGTAACACCTCCAGAGACATGCTTGAAGAACATCTGGCATTTGGTTCTCCCCAAAAGCAAAACATTTGCTCCCCAGAAACATTTACATGAACCTCTGGAATAAATTCTCTTCAGTTGAGTTGACTTGATTTAAGCACCAATGCAACCAGAAGCACAGAGATGGCTGCAACTTCCCCTAAAACTTAAAGATGAAATATCATCAATGACTTCTCAGGACTACCTGCAGCAAACCATTTCATGTGATGCAGCAGCTATTTAGCCAGACAGACACAGAGCAACACAGAGCAAGTTTCAGGGATCTGAAGTCGTATTTAAGTGAACAGGGGCAGAGGGAGAGATTCCACTGAGAAATTTTATGTGTTGACAATTTTGCATGAGGTAAATCAGAGTGATACTATCATCTGAACCAGGACCTCTTCAGATGCTAAACACAAGTAAGGATCCTGGTGACACATTTTATCTTTGCTTGCAAACACATCCCCCATTTCTGGTCAGGCTTGGGACCCAGATGTATTGCTGATGCACACAGGCATGGGAAAAGCAGGCCACTGCTGGCAAATGTTCCAAACGTTTCTACCCAGAGAGAGGAGAAAAAACACCCTTACTCAAACACTCAGACTGTTTTCTGTGCTCACCCAAGTGTTTCTCCACCACCAAGCAGCAAGTCAACTGGGACATCAGCTTTGCATTATGCAAGCACCCATCTGCCACAACTACAGGGAATTAGAACAAACAGCAACACACAGAGTAACTCCTAGCAAGCTGGACAGACCACAGGCAGGAAACAGAAAGGCTCTGATAGCCCCATCTTGTAAAAGCGAACAGGAATTAGATTCCTTTCACAGAGAAGCAGCAGAGAACACCAGTGCCTTTCACATAAAATGCCACAGCTTTTCCTTTTGCTTTTGGTCATTGTCCAAAACAGCCCCTCATTTCAGGTGTTCTCTTGAACTTGCCCAGCGCTGGTCTAGCTGCTAAGCACTGCAGAACAGAGCCGGACCCTGCTTGGGAGCCTGTTTCTAACAGAGATGAACAGAAGATGCTAGAGGAAAAGTGAACATTCCAAGTTTAAAGCCCTATTTCCCCCCATTTTCTACCTCTCAGCTACCAGGAAGGGATATTTTGGGGACTTCCTCAGCTAGGGTTGTTATTCACACTTTTGTGTTTTAGCAGCATGCCTAAAACACATTTACAGCAGCAATACCTGCCTACACATCTGACACGGTAGTGAAAACGGAGCAACCACGTGCTTCCTGTGGCATTGTCCAAGCCCACATACACAGCTGCATGGACACCTACTCGGCCCCACTGCTACCTCCAGCACCCGAAATAGGCTGGTGAGCTGAAAGGGCTGAAAATTCACCATGTAAACACAGACACATGATGGAGACACCAGCAGCTGCTTCCCCGTGCTTTTTCTTTTTGATAGTGAAACTGCCCCACATGAAAATACAGCTCTGGGCAACAAGTCACTTTAAAAAGTAAAATACAGGTTAGAAAATTATTTTAAAAAAAAAAAAAAAGAATTGGGTCCTGTGTCCTCGCAAGCCAGATATGCCTCTGTCCACATGTAACCCAGACCAGGGTGGATAACAAATTATCCACGCCTTTCTTCAGTCTTTCCTGCTGCAATGCAGGACATCATTTTCAGTCCTCCTGAAGCCTCACTCTGTGAGTAAAACCTTTGGTTTCCCTGCCCATGTGCCATCGCTATTGCTAGCTGCCATACCATGCCTCTTGCGTGAAACCTCAAGAGAAAAGCAAACAAAAAACAAGTTTGCTTTTTTTTTTTTTTTCAAAAAAAAAAGACCCACATCCTTTCCTTATGATAGAAACTAATGTTTTTCCAGCTTTTGTTTTCCTCAGCAGAGGACAGACAGCATTGCCCCTCCTTACCCGAGGATTTTGAACCCTTCCCACTTGATGAATGCATTGCACTTCTCCCCTCGAAATGTCAAATCCCGGGGCTCAAAGCAAACCCCTCGCTCCCTGGCTCCCCGGTTCCTGACGCATGAAGCACAAAGCAGGAGCAGGAGCAGTGAGGGACCACCACTCTCACCCTTTGCTTGTCTCTGTGCCAACATGCAAGAACTTGCATTTTCACAGACCCAGGGCCTGAATTCAGAAATCAAGCAGTAAGACAAACCACCTCTGAAATAGCGGGGAGAGAGGTGCCGATCGGTCTGGTTGTGACAATCCTTTGAGTATGCGCTCTAAAAAAACGCCGTGTGTGGCGTGTTACGGCGTGGTTAATCGCTGTTTCACGATTTCCCCGCGTCTCTGCCCACATCCTACCCCCTGCAACGCATGCAGCTGGCAGCGGCGGGGGGCAGGCGCTGCTGGGGATGTGCGTGCATGTCGCAGTACCACCTTCCTTTTGTTGTCCATCACCCCCCAAACCCCGGCTCCCCCTTCCCCATCCGCAACACCCAGCGGGGCACAAAGCACCCGGATCCCTTCGTGCGCGGCGATCGCATTTTTTTTATTATTTTTTTTTTCCCCGCCCCCCCCAGCCCCAAGCGGAGCTCACCAAGCGTCTTGACGGCCACCTGGCGGGTGAGCGGCGGCGGCAGGTTGATGCACACCAGGTCGACGTCGTGGTGCAGCAGCACCTCATCGATGCGGCTGGTGTGGAAGGGCACGCTCAGCTCCCCGGCCAGCTCCTCCGCCTCCTCGGCCGTGCGGCCCCACAGCGCCTTCACGGCGAAGCCCTCCGCCTGCAGCAGCGGCACGATCACCCGCGCCGTCAGCCCGGTGCCGAACACCCCAACGCCAGGCAGCATGGCGACGCGACGCGACGGGACGGGACGGGACGGGACGAGCCCTCAGCAACCCGCCACCGCCACTGCTGCTGCTCCGGGCGAAGGGGGACGCAGCCCCCGCTGACTGCGGCCCGCAGCGGGCCCCGGCGCCCCCCGCTGCCTCAGCTGCGCGACGGCCGCCGCCATATCGCGGGGGGGCGGAGTGGGGAAAGGCGGGGGGGGGGGGGGGGGGGCTCAGCGCTGCGCCCCCGCCATGTCGGGCACGGCCGCCCGCGGGAGGGGCAGGGACAGCAGGGAGGGAGGCGGGGGGGAGGGAAGGGGGCGGAGCCTCCACCCCGCCCCCAGCAGGGCTGTGCCCCGCCCCCGCTTTTCCATTGGCTGACGCTGCCTGGCGGCTCCGCCCCTCTGGTGCCCTCGGAGGGTGAGGGCGCGCGGGGGGCGCCTGGGGGCGCCTCAGGGTGCCGTCTGCCTCAGGGCGCTCCTGCATTCCGCAGGGACGCAGCCGCTCCCCAGGAGGAACGTACTGCAGAGTCCTCCTCACAGAATCATACAACCATTGAGGTTGGAAAAGACCACCAAGATCATCTGGTCCAACCACCCCCCTACCACCGATGTCACACACTAAACCATGTACCCAAGCACCACGTCCAACATCTCCTTGAACACCCCCAAGGATGGTGACGCCACCACCTCCCTGGGCAACCCATCCCAACGCCTGACTGCTCTTTCTAAGAAAAAATGGCTCCTAATTCCCAAACTAAACCTCCCCTGGTGCAACTTGAGGCCATTCCATCTAGTCCTATTACTAGCTACCTGTGAGAAGAGGCCGACCCCCAGCACCCCACAGCTTCCTTTCAGGTAGCTGTAGCGATCAATAAGGTCTCCCCTGAGCCTTCTCTTCTCCAGACCAAACACCCCCAGTTCCCTCAGACGCTCCTCACAGGACTTGCATTCCAGACCCCTCACCAGCTTCATCGCCCTTCTCTGGACTCACTCCAAAGCCTTGATGTCCTTCTTGTAGCAAGGGACCCAAAACTGCACACAGTACTTGGGGTGCGGCCTCACCAGAGCAGAGTACGGGGGGACAATCACTTCCCTAGCCCTGCTGGCTATGCTATTCCTGATACTAGTCCTGATACTAGTCCTCGTTTGTAGGCTGCTTATAAAAGCTCCCCCCAAAAAAAGTTGTAGATAGGTGAAGGTTTATCTGGCTGCTTGCAAAAGTTGACCAAAAGTCACCAGTCTACAGGTCTGGAGGAGACAGGTGAAGGCCCAACAGAAATTGTTATCATATTCCTATTTGTAATTATAGACTTCTCATTATTTTAGTGAGCACAAGTTTATGAAATCTATATCAGGTCATTGTCTGGAAAAATTTTCAGTAAGGCAGACGAAATGGGAATTGAGGACTAGGGAATGAAATTATTACACTCCACCAAGTCTGTCATTTTCCCAGAGAGAATTTTTGCTTCCTTTACTTTTCAATTTTATTTATTTATTTATTCTCCAGTTAGGGTAACATAGTTTTGCAGAGTTACACTGAGCAAGCAGCACCTAGCCTGGAGAGCCCCAGTTAGCCAAGCCAAGCCAAGCCAAGCCAAGCCCTGAACAGGTGACAACTCCAAATCTGAGCTGGGGCTGCATTTCCCCCATGTGGCGCATGGACTCGTGGGCATCCCCATACTAGTTTGTGCTGGAGCAAGGTGCCATTATTTCTCAACTAACTGCATGAAATAGGGCAACCACCCTGTATTTGTTTGTCTCTGTGAGCACCCAGAAGGGCTGAGGGAAGCCAGTGCGGGATTATTTTGAGTAACATTGACTGTGTCCTTTCTGAACTACACACAACTGCCAAGATTGGTGACAGCAGAATCTGTGCTCACATCCATAGCACTGCTTGTACTGGCTGCTTTCTGCTGACTTTACTATCAAATCCAGGCAAGATTTTTTTAATTATTATTATTTTTTTGTGTGTGTGCAAAGCAGGAGAGGTTAAGGCAGCACCAAAGTGCTCTGCTTTGAAAGCACATCTAACCAGGACTGAGGCTCCATGGGCTGCATGTATTCCAGGAACCCTGAAGCCTCTTGTGTTTCATATATCTTCAATATCTTTCAATTTCTAAGTCTGCCAGTCTTGTCAAGAGAGCCAGCATTTAATTCTTACAGCTGCTACAGCTTCCTTCAAGGAATACATATGCACATGGATTTCTGTGACAGACGATAATTTTGATCTTCTGTGATGTTTTTCTTAGCCTGAAATAAATTATTAGCATAAAGCATTAAGTTGCTTGTGGAAAATAATAATAACAACAACAACAATAATAATATATATATATATATATATATATATATATAAACTTGACAGGCTGTAGTGGGTTTACGTGGCAAGGCTTTGGTAGCAGGGGGCCATAGGGGTGGTTTCTGTGAGAAAGATCTAGAAGCCGCCCCATGTTTGGGAAGGGCCCCATTGTTTTCCAGATCTGAGCCAATAAGCGATGTTGTTTTGCGCCTCTGTGAGAGCATATTTAAGACAGGGAAAAAACTGCTGCGCCACACAGCAGCCGGGAGAGTCAAGGGAGTGAGAAACAGCCTTGCAGGTGCCAAGGTCAGTGTAGAAGGAGGGGGAGAGGTGCTCCAGGTGCCGGAGCAGAAGTCCCCTGCGGCCTGTGGTGAGGACCATGGTGAAGCAGGATGTCCCCCTGCAGCCCATGGAGTACCACGGTGGAGCAGGGTTTCACGCTGCAGCCCGTGGAGGAGACCACGGTGGAGCAGGTGGCCCTGCACCGACGGAGGCTGCCACCTGTGGAAGACCCCTGCCGGAGCAGATTCCGGGCCGGACCTGTAGCCCGTGGAGAGGAGACCACGCAGGAGCAGGTGATCTGGCAGGAGCTGCTGCCCGTAGGGGAGCCAGGTTGGAGCAGTTTTCTCCTGAGGGATGGACCCCGTGGTACGGACCCATATCTGGAGCAGTTCTGGAAGAGCTGCTGCCTGTGGGAAGCCCACGCCGGATCAGTTCGTCAAGGACTGCATCCCGTGGGTGGGACCCCACAGCACAGGGGACGAGAGTGACCGAGAAGGAGCGGCAGAGAAGGAGTGCTGTAGACTCACCATAACCCCCATTTCCCCGTTCCCCTGCGCCGCTCGGGGGGAGGAGGTGGAAGAGGGTGGATGGGGGGGGAGGTGCTTTTGGTTTCTTTCCTTTGTTTCTCACTTCTCTAGCTTGTTAGTAATGAGCAATAAATCTTACTATCTGTCTTCTTATGCTGAGTCTGTTTTGCCCGTTACACTAATTATTGCGTGGTTTTCTCGTCCTTATCTCAATCCTTGAGCCCCTTTCACATATTTTCTCCCCATTCCTCTTTGAGGAGGGGGAGTGAGAGAGCGGCTGTGGTGGAGCTCGGCTGCCCACTCGAGCGGAACCACGACGCAGGCTCACATGGCCCTTTTCTGATTCTAAATTCTGTAAATGAAACCAACTTGCAGGAAATAAGAAAAGTGTTGCAGTCATCATTTTGATCCTATTACCTATTTCAGTTGAGTGCTGCAACTCCAGGTTGTTACACTATACACAATGCACAACTAGGTACATCACCAACTTTATGTGAGAAACCCTAACTTAATATCTCCTCTACAGAATTCTGGTAGTGTTGTTTGCAAAATTTTGAAACGATCTTTTCAGTTGGATGCCAGATATTTTGTGGTACTTTCAGTACTTATACTGAACTTATACTTACAGTATATTATTTTCTTCTTTATTACATTTTGGGAATATAAATATCAGAAATCCTTGGGGGTTTTAGTTTTTATTTAATTATTTTCACTCAACTTTTATTTAGCTTTGTATATAGTTTTATTATTATCAGCCTAGCTAGTAAACCAAAAATACTAGACATAAAAAATATAGCAGGGTATGAAAGGATCAATCAAGTATACGCAATGTGCAAATGCTTGTTATCAGTTGGCTTAAGTAAAATGCGGAAAGTTGGTGGTCTTCCAGATCAGCCCTTAGCAGAAAAAAGTCCTCAATCTACTTTTCAAAGGTGTGAAGGTCTTCCCACATGTTGCTCAGGTTTCTGTCCAGAGCCCACAGAAGTCACCAGAAAGATGTAGATCCATCTGATAGAGCACTGGGATCCCAAACTCTTTCATTCTTCTCTGCACTTAAATTTTGCTTTTTTTTTTGTTTGTTTGTTTTTTTACGTTTATACTCAGACACCACAGCTGCATTTATCAAACATCTCATACAACAGCCTGAACAATCGAAAGAGCTGGATAATACATGGCTTCTGCAAAATCATGAAATGGAGCTTACTGTCTCTCCAAATACATCTCAAATCCCAGGATTCCAAGATTAATTAACTAGTTTCTACATAAGCCAAACATGAAGCAGCAGTGAGTTTTCATTAACTAGTTGGCTCCTGATTGGGAATAAGGTGTGTGTTCTCCACCACTGGGCTACAATAGCTTTGAGACTGGAAAATATTTGCATAGAGATAATAGTGCTTCAGAGAAGAGAAGAGGAAAAAGTGGTGATTCAGACCTCTCTGGTTCTCCCACTCAGCTTTACTGAGTCATCTATAGCATTAGAAATGATCTGTGAGCTGCATTGCTCAAGTCCTTTTTTACATTTAACACCACGCAATTTGCAGTTCTCAGGCCAACTTAAATGTGATCTTGCAGACAGCCATACACATTTAGTGTGTCTTTGAATGTGTTTCTACTGAGACAAGCCGCAGTGGGTTCTTGCTATGGGATATAAGGTTAGCAACTGCTTTAACGTTTGAGTATTAAATGGTCCAAAGTGCAGTAGAGAGCACTAGACAAAAGTAGAACACGTGCTAGCAAGGAGTTCATAACGCATTCGGCCATACATCGATCAGGTCAGTGGGTGTTTTGCCCATACCTAGACTTGCTGAGCCCATTCAGTACATTTTAAGAGTTTATTCTTTCCCAGTTCCCAAAGCCATTCTTTACAAGATTTGTATGCTGAGTGTGGATGGGCTGTAAGAACACCAGTGAGTCTTCAAGAATCCACATCGCTAACAAGATACTTCTGAAGGCATTGGTACTCTGTTCATTAAGGCATAGAGAAGGATCTAAGCAAGTACAGTTTCCACTCTTGCACAATATAAACATCCTGTGAAGGAAGACAAGTGTGAGTATTCCCTCTTTACTTGCATAGAAACTGGTGCTCAGAGAAAAATGATGTTCTCTCTTGGGTCCTCAATTTCTGGGT